GAACTGTAAACCAGTCTCATACACTGAAATTAGGAGAATATACAGTTACATAACCTTTCTGGATAATAATTTGGAAATGTATACATAAAGCCTCAACTATTTGAGGAATATTCAACTCTCGATCTACTAACTCTACTACTAGAAATTTATTCTAAGGAAATAATTTTATATGTGCACAATTTACTGCAAGAAGATCATCAAAAGCATTTTTTTTTTTTTGAGACTTAGTCTCACTCTGTTAACCAGGCTGGAGTGCAATGGCACAATCTCAGCTCACTGCAACCTCCACCTTCTGGGTTCAAGCGATTCTGCTGTCTCAGCCTCCCAGGTAGCTGGGATTACAGGAGACCACCACCACGCCCAGTTAATTTTTGTATTTTTAGTAGAGACGGGGTATTGCCATGTTGGCCAGGCTGGTCTTGAACTCCTCTGCTCAAGTGATCCATCTGCCTCAGTCTCCCAAAGTGTGGGGATTAGAGACGAGAGCCACTGCACCTGGCCTCATGTCATAGTTTATTAACCACTTATTCTAAGAAAAAAATTCTTTGGAAGGCCAAAGTGGGCAGATCACCTGAGGTCTAGAGTCTGAGACCAGCCTGGCCATTACGGCGAAACCATGTCTCTATTAAAAACACAAACAAAAATTTAGCTGGGTATGGTAGCACACACCTGTAATCCCAGCTACTCAGGAAGCTGAGGCAGGAGAATTGCTTGAACCTGGGAGATGGAGGTTGCAGTGAGCCGATATTGCAACACTGCACTCTAGCCTGGGCGACAGAACAAGACTGTCTCAAAACCATAAAAAATAAAAATAAAAAATAAATTTGTTAAGCTTTCTCAGTTAGAAATATTCCCTTTCTTTAGAAATCTCTCTATAGGTAATGGTACACACCTGTAATCCCAGCACTTTGAGATGACAGCCAAGGCAGGAGGATTGCTTGAGGCCAGGATTTTTGAGACTAGCCTGGGCAACAGAAGGAGAATCCGACTCCACGAAAAATAAAAAGTGAGTCGGGTATGATGGTGCCCACCTACATCCAAGCTACTCAGGAGGCTGAAATCAGAGGATCACGAGCCCAGCAGTTCAAGGCAGCAGTGAGCTATGATCAAGCCACTGCCCTCCAACTTGGGTGACAGGGTGAGATTCTGTCTCAAAAACAAAACAAAACTCAGAAACAAAAATCCAAAATAATCCCGTTAAAAAATGGGCAAAAGCCACAGGGCGTCGGGACCCATGCCCGCTGCCCGGGCCGCCTGGACTCAGCCTCGCCGGGTGCCACCAGAGGCCTGGACCCCCAGGATTCCCCGAGCTCGCGCCTCTCGTCCAATGAGTGACCCTGGCCAACTGCCCTGCGGGCCCAGTGGGGCCGAGAGCCGGGCCGTCATCCGGACCAAAGCCATGACATCGCACTGCCCAGCCCACCCGGCTGCCATAGACAAGAAGTAGGTAGCCACAGTCGGACCGAACCGCTGGGCCAGCGGGGCAGCCCCCTCCGAGCGCCGGCCGTCCCGTCCATCGCCCGGATACCCATCGCCCCTGGCCCAGAGGCGGCCTCAGGTGGGAGGGGGCTCTCTTCACCTCGGTGCCTCAGTTCCCCCAGCTGTAAAACAGGGACTAGACTGCCCAGTGGCCGAGAGGGGCTGGCTGTGGAGCCGCGTCCAACCCCCGCCCTCTAGGTGGCCCGCCGTCCGGTGAGAACGGTTTTCTAAGAGCAAAACTTGGCCCGCCGCTCCCAGCTGCCCCCATCGCACTCAGGCAATTACCGGCCCAGCCCCCGTCCACGTGCGACCCATGGTGACCTCCGGGAGCAGCACCCCGGCTCCCTCCAGCACTGGCACCCGGGGTGGGCAGATCTGGCTGCACAGGGCACGAGGCGAGGCTGGGATCCCACTGCCCTGATGAATGGACTGACCAACCGAGGCAGCAATGCCCCCACCGTGGCCCCCACGGCCCCACTAACCCCCACACCCCATTCCGTGCAATAAACGACAGCATTGCCCCCCCCACCCCCACACACAAAATAATGGGCAAAAGATCTCAACAGATATTTTCCAACGGAAGACATACAAATGGCCAACAGGTAAACCCAAATATTTAACCTCACTAATCATCACAGAATCTGTCAAATTTCTCTCTCTGTTGTTGCCCTATAATCTTTGCATTGAATTCACATTACAGGCAGGGCATGGTGGCTCACGCCTGTAATCCAAGCACTTTGGAGGCCAAGGTGGGCGGATCATCTGAGGTCGGGAGTTCAAGACCGACCTGACCAACATGGTGAAACCCCGTCTTTACTAAAAAAAAAAAAAAAAAGTCATTAAAAAAAGAAAAAAAAAAAAACAAGAATTCACAGTGCAAAAATACAACAGCTATTAGAAACAAGGGCTGCAGAGGGTATTTCCTGAGTTGTAAGAGTTGCTAGAATAGTAAGATTCAGGATCCTAGCAGCCTAAGAATATGTTTATGGGCCTCATTCAAGAAGTTTTTTTGTTGCCTTTTTTTTTTTTTTTTTTAAGACAGAGTTTTACTCTGTTGCCCAGGTTGGAGTGCAATGGTGATCTCGGCTCACTGCAACCTCTGCCTCCTGGGTTCAAGAGATTCTCCTGCCTTAGCCCTCACGTAGCTGGAATTACAGGCGTGTGCCACCAAGTCCGGCTAAGTTTTTGGTATTTTTAGAAGAAATGGGTTTTTGCCACGCTAGCCAGGCTGGTCTTGAACTCCTGACTTCAGGTGATCTGCCCACTTCAGATTCCCAAAGTGTTGGAATTACACTGGAATTGAGACTAGCCTGGGCAACAAAGGGAGAATCCGTCTGTACAAAAAATAAAATAAAAAGTTAGTTGGGAATTACAGGCCTGACCCACCATGCCCGGCCTTCTTTTAATTTTCTTCCTGAAATCACAAGAAACTACAGTGCACTGTTGCCAGTGTGGGGTAAGGAAGATAGGTAGGGAAAAGAGGGTTCCAAATAAAGCTTCAGGCCGGGTGTGGTGGCTCATGCCTATAATCCCAGCATTTTGGGAGACTGAGGCGGATGAATCACCTGAGATTAGATGTTTGAGACCAGTCTGGCCAACATGGTGAAAGCCCTTCTCTACTTAAAATACAAAATTTAGCCAGGCCTCGTGGCGGGTGCGTGTGGTCCCAGCTACTTGTGAGGCTGAGGCAGGAGAATCACTTGAACCCTGCAGGTGGAGGTTTCAGTGAGCCAAGATCGCACCACTGCACTTTAACCTGGGTGACACAGTGAGGCTCTGTCTCACAAAACAAACAAACAAAAAGAAAAAGAATAAAACAATAAGGTTTCAAAGGCCAGCTAGACCAGCAGTGTTCCTCAAACTTTCACATTCACAAAAATCACCTGGGGGAATCTTGTTAAGATGCAGCGGATTCTAATTCAGTCTGTGATTCAGTATTTCTTTTTCTAAAGCGGAGTTTCACTTGATCTCGGCTCACTGCAACCTCCCTCCCAGGTTCAAGGGATTCTCCTGTGTCAGCCTCCCAAGTAGCTGGCATTACAGAGATCTACCACCACGCCCAGCTACTTTTTCTATTTTTAGTAGAGACGAGGTTTCGCCATATTGGCCAGGATAGTCTCGAACTCCTGACCACAGGTGATCTGCCTGCCTTGGCCTCCCAAAGTGCTGGGATTACAGGCGCCAGCCACCACGCCCGGCCATGATTCAGTATTTCTAACAAGCTCCCTAGTGATTCCAGTGCTGCTGGTCTTTAGACCATACTTTTGTAAGCAAGGATACTTAAAGCTAAAAAAAAAGTGTTTTTTGTTTTTTGTTTTTTGAGACAGGGTCTCACTCTGTTACCCAGTCTGAAGTGTAGTAGTGCAATCTTGGCTCACTTCAAGCAATTCTCCAGCCTTAGCCTCCTGAGTAGCTGGAATTACAGGTGCGTGCCACCAGGTTCACCTAATTTTGTAATTTTAGTAGAGCCGAGGGTTTTACCATGTTGACCAGACTGGTCTCCAACTCCTTACCTAAAGTGTTGGGATTGGGATTACAGGTGTGAGCCACCTCGTCCAGCCTCTCTTTCTTTTCTTTCTTTTTTTTTTTTTTTTGAGATGGAGTTTCACTCTTGTTGCCCAGGCTAGCATGATCTCAGCTCACCGCAACCTCCACTTCCTGGGTTCAAGCGATTCTCCTACCTCAGCCTCCCAAGTACCTGGGATTACAGGCATGCACCACCACGCCCAGCTAATTTTTTGTATTTTTAGTAGAGATGGGGTTTCTCCATGTTGGCGAGGCTGGTCTTGAACTCCTGATCTCCTGATCTGCCCACAGCCTCCCAAAATGCTGAGATTACAGGCATGAGCCACCACACCTGGCCTATTTTATTTTTATTTTTACTTATTTATTGAGACAGAGTTTCGCTCTTATTGCTGTTGTAACCCAGGCTGGGGTGGAATGGTGAGATCTCGGCTCACTGCAACCTCCGCCTCCTGGATTCAAGCGATTCTCTTGCTTCAGCCTCCTGTGTAGCTGGGATTACAGGCGTTCACCACCACACCCAGCTAATTTTTGTATTTTTAGTAGAGACAGGGTTTCTCCATGTTGGTCAGGCTGGTCTCAAACACTTGACCTCAGGTGATCCACTGGTCTCGGTCTCCTGAGGTGCTGGGATTACAGGCAAGAGCCACCATGCCTGGTCCTTTTATTTATTTATTTTTTTTGAGATGGTGTCTCACTCTGTTTCCCAGGCTGGAGTGCAGTGGCGGGATCTCAGATAACTGCAACCTCCACTCCCGGGTTCAAGAGATACTCCTACCTCAGCCTCCTGAGTAGCTGGGAATTACTGGCACATGTCACCATGCCTAGCTAATTTTTTTGTATTCTTAGTAGAGACAGGATTTCACCATGTTAGCCAGGATGGTCCCAATCTCCTGACCTCATGATCTGCCCACCTCCCACCTCCCTAAGTAGCTGGGATTACAGGTGTGAGCCACCATGCCAGGCCATATTTAGTTTTTAATTCCATTTTCACGTACCTGGTATTACCTTAGGACAGAACCACCTTCAAGAAATCAGCTAGATACCTACAAGAAAAGTATCACACTTCTCTGAGGAACCTTTAAAAGTCATAGGTACTATCTTCATTAGATAATGAGAGTAGCCTGGATTCTCAAGGTTACCATTTTTACACCATAAATTCTTTTTTTTTTTTTTCTTAATTTAATCAATAAGCTGTGCCCAGTGGCTCACACCTGTAATCTCAGCACTTTGGGAGGCCAAAGGGGGTGGATTGCCTGAGGTCAGGAATTTAAGACCAGCCTGGCCAACATTGTGATACACCACCTCTACTAAAAATACAAAAATTAGCCACGCATGGTGGTGCACACTTGTAATCCCAGCTACTCAGGAGGCTGAGACAGGAGAATCACTTTAACCTGAGAGGCAGAGTTTGCAGTGAGCCTCGATGGCGCCATTGCAATCCAGGCTGGGCTGCAGACCGAGACCCTGATTTTTGTCGTTGTTTTGTTTTTGAGACAGGGTCTCGGTCCTCAAAATCAAAACAACAACAAAAATCAATGTGGCTCCAAGTTGTGTGAATCTGTCTGCAGCAATAGAGGTCAGCTTTGGTGTCCCACTGGTATCATCCGCACAGCTAAATTTGACTGACTTTTAAAAAATAAAACTAAAAATAGAATCATCTGGGAAGTTTAAAGACCTCTGATGCCAGGGCCCATTCCAGACCAACTCATTGAGAACGGCTGGGAGTGAAACCCATGCATTGGTACTTTAAAAAATTCTCTGGGTGGGCATGATGGCTCACCACTGTAATCCCAGCACTTTGGGAGGCCAAAGTAGGAGGACTGCTTGAGGTCAGGAGTTTGAGACCCGCCTGGGAACACGGTGAAACCCTGTCTCTCCAAAAAAATACAAACACTACCCAGGCAGTGTTTGTACTGGGTGGGAAGCACCTGTGGTCCCAGCTACTGGGGAGGCTGTGGTGGGAGGATCATTTGAGCCCAGGAGGTTGAGGCTGCAGTGAGCAGTGATTGCACCACTGCAGTCCAGCCTGGGCGACAGAGCAAGACCCTGTCTCAAAGGAAAAATAAAAACCTCACCAAAATGCAGATACTTTCAAGAGTTCATGCTAGAGTACGTAACTCTCTGGACATCTTATATTAGGCATAAGTAAATCCGTATTATAGTAACAGTGCTTTTCAAACAGAAGCTCCGAAGCCTTCCCCTGCTGCTACTTTGGTCATCATATTGAACTTAAATGTTAGTTGCTGGTAAAGTAGCATGTAAACAGCTCTCATAGCTCCTGAAAAATTGAGATATGGCCGGGCGCGGTGGCTCAAGCCTGTAATCCCAGCACTTTGGGAGGCCGAGGCGGGTGGATCACGAGGTCAAGAGATCAAGCCAATCCTGGTCAACATGGTGAAACCCCGTCTCTACTAAAAATACAAAAAATTAGCTGGGCATGGTGGTGCGTGCCTATAATCCCAGCTACTCAGGAGGATCAGGCAGGAGAATTGCCTGAACCCAGGAGGTGGAGGTTGCAGTGAGCCGAGATCGCGCCATTGCACTCCAGCCTGGGTAACAAGAGCAAAACTCCGTCTCAAAAAAAAAAAAGGAAAGGAAAAAAAAGAAAAATTGAGATATAATTCATATACCTTACAATCTTTCCATTTAAAGTGTGCAATCCAGTGGTTTTGAGATATTCACAGAGTTGTACAACCATCACCATAATCAATTTTAGATCACTTTCACCAACTCAGAAATTCATACCCTTTAGCTATCACTGCTCAATCCCTCCATCCTCCCCAGACCTAGGCAATCCTTAATCTATAGACCTTCATATTCAAGTCATTTCACATAAATAGAATGTGGTCTTTTGTGACTGCACATAGTATAACATTTTTCAGGATCATGCATGTGATAGCATGCATGTTTTATTGCAGAATTAAGTTTTCGCTGCATGGATATGTCACATTTGAAAAATCTAGGGCCTGGTTCAGTGGCTCACGGCTGTAATCATAGTATTTGGAAGGCCATGGCAGAAGGATCGTTTTTAACTCAGGGTATAGAGGCTGCAGTGAGCCAAGATCTCACCACCGCAACTCCAGCCTGGGTGAAAAAGTGAGACCTCATCTCAAAAAGTAAAATAAAAAATAAAAATAAAAACATGTTTATCAGCTGATGGACATTTGGGTCTCATGTGCTTTTAAGATTTTTTGTTTTTAGAGATAGGATCTTGCTCTTTTGCCCAGGCTAGAGTGCAGTGGTGCAATCATGTCTCACTGCAGTCTCAAACTCCTAAGCTCAAGCAATCCTCCTGCCTCAGCCTCCTGAATAGCTAGGACTATAGATATATACCACCATGCCTGGATAATCAAAAGAAAAAAATTGTAGAGATGGGGTGTCCCTATGTTACCCAGGCTGCTCTGGAACTCCTGGCCTCAAGTGATTCTCCTGTGTCAGCCTCCCAAAGTTCTGGGATTACGAGCATGGGCCACCAGGCCTGGCCAATTTAAGATTTTTTTTTTTTTTGATTTTGTTTTTTCAATTTAAGACTTTTGTAAAGGCTGTATTATTGTGTATAAGTATCCTTCCATAATTTTTTTTTTTTTAGATGGATTCTCACTCAGCCACCTAGGCTGGCATGTAGTGGCGCAATCTCGGCTCACTGCAACCACTGTCTGCCGGGTTCAAGCGATTCTCTCACCTCAGCTTCCTGAAGAGCTAGGATTACAGGAACCCACCATCATGCCTGGATAATTTTTTATTTCAGTAGAAACCGGGTTTCACCGAGCTGGTCTTGAACTCCTGTCTCGGCCTCCCAAAGTGCTGGGATTACAGGCATGAGCCAGTGTGCCTGGCAGCCAGGCTGGTCTTGAATTCCTGAACTCAGGTGATCCATCCACCTCAGCCTCCCAAAGTGCTAGCATTACAGGCATGAGCCACCATGCCTGGCCCTGAATTTTTTTGATTGCATATATAGACATTTCTAATGAAAAAAGATAGGGGCCGGGCGCGGTGGCTCAAGCCTGTAATCCCAGCACTTTGGGAGGCCGAGGCGGGTGGATCACGAGGTCGAGAGATCGAGACCAACCATGGTCAACATGGTGAAACCCCGTCTCTACTAAAAATACAAAAAATTAGCTGGGCATGGTGGTGCGTGCCTATAATCCCAGCTACTCAGGAGGCTGAGGCAGGAGAATTGCCTGAACCCAGGAGGCGGAGGTTGCGGTGAGCCGAGATCGTGCCATTGCACTCCAGCCTGGGTAACAAGAGCGAAACTCCGTCTCAAAAAAAAAAAAAAAAAAAAAGAAAAGAAAAAAGATAGGATCTTTACCTGCTATGGCAGAATCCGTTTTTAAAAACTTTGTATTAAGGGAATTGGAAGTTGGTTGGTTAATTCAAATGGCTTCCCATTAGTAATCTACTGGACATAAAAGTCAATAGGCTGTTAACATCACTCATATATACATATATACATATATATATATATATATATATACACACATATATACATATATATACATATATATACACACACATATATATATATACATATATATATACATATATATATATATATATATATATATATTTAAGATGGAGTCTCACTCTGCTGCCCAGGCTAGAGTACAGTAGCGAGATCTCAGCTCACCACAACCTCTGACTCCCAGATTCAAGCAATTCTCCTGCCTCACTCAGCCTTCTGAGTAGCTAGTATTACAGGCATGTGCCACCACACCTGGCTAATTTTTGTATTTTTAGTAGAAACAGGGTTCACCACGTTGGTCAGGCTGGTTTCAAACTCCTGACCTCGTGATCTGTCCACCTCAGCTTCCCAAAGTGCTGAAATTACAGGAGTGAGCCACCGCATCTGGCCCATTCATATGTTTTATAGGGAATTGGAGGTAAATGTTGGTTAGGTTAGTTTCAGTTAAGAGAACTGCTCCTGCACTTGGACTTTTTAAAAGAAGATGAATTTCCCCTATCTCATTACATAATAACATATGTTGAACACTTACTACGTGACAAGCATTTAAGTGCTTTGCATGCATTAATTCTTTCAATCATCAACAACCGTATGAATGAGTACCATTAGTATCTCCTTTTTATAGATGAGGAAACTGAGGTGTACAGGGAGGCAAATTAAATTGTTCACAGTTATGCACATTATGAGTGGCAGAGTTTTAATTCAAACCCAGTCTGGTCGGTAGAACCCACTCTTAAGCATGGTACACTATGGACTTATCAGTTTAAATTGCTTTATAGGATGTGATCATAGGAACGTCTCAAGTCATAGTTGATTTTATTTTGTGTTGTTCTATCATCTATTTATTTAGAGACAGAGTATTGCTCTGTCACCCAGCTGGAGTGCAGTGGCATGATCTCAGCTCACTACAACCTCTACTTGGGTTCAAGTGATTCTCATGCCTCAGCCTGCCAAGTAACGGCACAGGTGTGCACAACCACGCCCAGATAATTTTTCTAGTTATAGTAGCATTGGGGTTTCACCATGTTGGCCAGGCTGGTCTCAAACTCCTATGCTCAAGTGATCTACCCACCTCAGTCTCCCAAAGTGCTGGGATTACAGGCTTGAGCCACTGCACCGGCCTCATGTCATACTTTATTAATCACTTGTTCTAATAAAAAATTGGCCAGGCCTGATGGCTTATGCCTGTAATTCCAGCACTTTGGGAGGCCAAGGTGGGTAGATCACCTGAGATCAGGAATTCGAGACCAACATGGTGACATGATGAAACCCCATCTCTACTAAAAATACCAAAAAATGAGCCAGGTGTGGTGGCACACACCTGTAATCACAGCTACTCGGGAGGCTGAGGCAGGAGAATTGCTTGAACCCTGGAGATGGAGGTTACAGTGAGCCAATATGGCACCACTGCATTCCAGCCTGGGTGACAGAGCAGGACTTCGTCTCAATTTAAAAAAAAAAATGGCCAGGCATGGTGGCTCACGCCTGTAATCTCAGCACTTTGGGAGGGCAAGGCGGGCGGATCACCTGAGGTCAGGAGTTCAAGACCAGCCTGGCCAACATGGTGAAACCCTGTCTTTATAAAAAAAAAGATAAATTTTTTTTTTTTTTTTTTTTTTTTTTTTTTTTTTTGAGACGGAGTTTCGCTCTTGTTACCCAGGCTGGAGTGC